GCCCCCGCCCCCGCCGTCCCGAGACCGCCGCCCGCCGCCGCAGACTTCATCAACAGATCCCCTCACAGCCCCCAGATCAAACTTCCCCACACCCCGGAGCCTTCCGTCTCCATCTCCGTCACTCCCTCCCCTCCCGTTTCTCTCCCGACAAACCAAGCCTCGCGCAAGAGGAGCGCCTCCCCTCTGGAAGACGAGCCCCCGCCTGAACCGCCTTTGAAGGTCCAACGCAGAGAGTCTCTGTCCAGTGAGGACCCCGCGGATGTCAAAGTCGTTCATGCCCCGACTGTGTACGACGACGTCCGCATGGAATTGTCACCGCTGAACGGCGCCCCGATGCTTAGTCGCCCGGCACTGCGCACCTCCACCAGACTATCTATCAAGCTGCTGAGTGACTTTCTGCACAAGACTTTTGAGTTGCCCATTTCGCAACAAGTCGTGCTGAGCTGCGCCGGAGAAGACCTTTCTGAGTCCATGACCGTCGGCAATTTGAGGGCAAATGTGTGGCCGCGGTCGGAAGGACATATGTTGTTACAATATAGAGTAGTGCAGAATCTCGCCCGCGCTTATGCGTACAGAGCATAGAAAAGGGGCTCACTTCAAGCCGGAAGTGGGGTTTTTTTTTTGAGGCACTGTGCTGGAAAGTGTGGTCGTTTCACTATCGCTTCGTTTTTTTTTATCTAACTCTCTCTCCAACTGGTGACTACACTACGTCTTGGATGATCGGGACACCTCCGGTTCAAGTCTGTAGTCATGCTGACTGCGGTAAACACAACTGAAACGCGTGAACACCCCAACATGTCGGGGGGGGCACTGCGTCGCTTTTCGTTTTTTTTTTTGGTCGCTGTGGCATGCCCTCTTGTTTCGTCTTACAGTGTGGCAGCGATTGCCGCGTTGTTTAACCTTCCGCTTGATCGGCTGTACACGTGTGCGGTAAGTTGCTTGGGTGACGGCAACAAACAGCTGGCTGCTTTGCTCATGCGACCGCCAACATCTGCTCGAGTTCAGAGTTTACGTGTCACCGCGTACGTATCTAGCGTCTACAAGTATTCATATATACCACACGCTTTGAGACTCCCTTGCAATCACCAAGCTAGCGCTGGGGATGCTGCGCTTCCTTTTCCGGATCCATCGTCCTTCAACAAGCTTCGCAACGAGCTCTCGCCGATATCGGAGGGATCAGCCCCCTTCTGTTATATCGTTTACACGGTATTACACACAGACACTATGATTAGCATACATGTCAGCTTCCTAGTCTAGAGCGTTCTTCGATTTCCTTCGAAACCCCCTTGAAGGCAATCTCTTCCCGCCGCCTCTCCGGAACAAGTACCCTGATTGATACGCAAGAACTAGCGCCCCGATCACCGCGCTAGAGATGAACAAAACATCAAACCACCTCTGAAAGTACTGAAACTCCATCTTCCCCAGCACGTCCGAGATCAAAACGCGCGATCCCGGCGGCAGAAAGCTGCGTATCAGCACCGTCGACGAAATCACATAAGTCCCCATCAAGTGCGCGATGAACACAGCGGCCGAGCTGTTTAAAGCATCGTTTCCAGCCAGCAACGCAAACAAGGACGTCATTCTCATTAACGCAGCACGCAGGTTGACGGCGATCAGGATGGAGGTGATGCCCAGCGTGGAATACTGGTACACGACTTTGACGTCCAGGCCGCGCATGCCGGCGCGCACCAGCAGCCCGTGCAAATGGTGCGAGATGAGAAACGCACCGCCCTTGCCCCCCACGCCCGCGCCGCGCAGGTGCGCGTAGATATGATACACGGCCGCGACGAGGCGCACGGCGCACAGCAAGAGCATGAGGGCGCCAAGCACGGTGAACAGGCGGCCGACGTTGGTGCGGGCGAAGGCGACGTCGTGCCACGCGGCGGCGGCCTCGTTGTACTGGACGAACAGGGCGGAGACGGAGCGCTCGGCGTCGACGACGTCGGGCGGGAGGCCCTGCAGGGCGCGACCCTGCGGCGGGCGCGGCTTGCGCGAGGCGGCGGGGCGGACGGCGAAGGAGACTTCGGTCTCGAGGAGGGCACGCTTCTTGTGCAGGACGTGGTCCAGGGCGGCGCACAGGCGGTCGGCCAGCGCGACGACGTCCTTCTCCTTGACCGGGCGGATGACGGCGCTGAGGTAGCTGTACGGCAGGTGGACGGCCGTGAAGCCCGAGAGCAGGGCGAGCATGGTGGTGCCGACGACGAGGACGCGGCTCATGGCGGCCTCGATGGAGAGGGCGGCGAGCATGCGCGGGACGACGGCGGGGCGCGGCGAGGGCGGGCGGGCCGAGGGGAGCGGGGCGCCGATGCGCCAGAAGACGTAGAGGAAGAGCAGCTCGCAGAGGAGGGACGAGCGCAGGGCCTCGCGCGGACGCCAGCCGCTGTCGATGAGGATGTGGTACACCTGGGCCGTCGGCAGGATGAAGACCAAGGTGGTGACCAGGGCGTACACGTCGAAGAGCCAGTACACGCGGCGCGTGGCCGCGTGCATGACGCCCAGCGCGTCGAACAGAATGAGCAGGACCAGCGAGACGGAGAGCGAGAAGGTGAGCTCGAAGAGCAGTTGCACGGCGGGGCTGCGCGCAGGTGGCGCGGGGAGGGGGGAGTTGGAGACACGGGGCGTCAGGAAGAGGGGGTTTTGGAGCGCGAGTGGGACGAGGCGGAGAGCAGAGGGGGGTGCAGAACGTACTGGTTGCGGACGTTTTCGCGCGAGAGGAAGCGCTTGTAGAAGATGGAGCCGAAGCGGAAGGCGATGAAGAGGGTGGTGACAGAGAGGAAGGCGTCCGTTAGTGCTTGAAAGAAATCGGTGGCGGCGGACCGCCCCATTGTGATGTCATCCGCACGTGGGGGATGAGGCTCGGTAGGCAATGGGGAGTGAAGCTCCAGTCGACGGCGACGAATCGGGATAAGTCGAGCATGGAGTTGGGCACCTAACACCAGCCTTCAACTGCGGAAACGACCAAGGACCCGGAGACACGGTACTGTACTGGAAGGATACCGGTGCGGCTTTCTGGGCGAAGGATTATCCAGAATTACAGTAATCGGACGACGACTCCCTTACAGTATTTAACATACAGGGGGTCGCTCAATAGTGCCTACTTTAGTAGTGCTTCCCTCTATATAGTGCTATGGCTCACCCTCTGGCACAGGTTATCATAAGCTCACACGTGTATGATCCGGCATGGTTCAGTACTCAAGGATGAAGTTATTTAGTTGTGTTATACAGGCTTTGTTGTGTTTGTGTTAGCAGAGTGTGCTTTGTCCCCAAATATATGTATTTGAGCCTCCTTTATATAGTGCCATCCCCCCATTATATAGTGCCATAGCTAGAGGTATGTCACGCTATAGCACTATACAGGGGGGGTCGCGATATAGTGCTACCCTGTGTCAGTGGGCCGAAAACGGCACTATATCGAACCAGGCACTGTTAGACAATGAGATTTACGGCTTTTTGCAGCCACTTCCTTGCATCACTGCTCAGAAAGACCGCTCGCAGGACGCCATCACTCATGCTTTGTATCTTCACTACAGACTCAAGTCTAATCAAGCATTTCTGTTATTAGTAGCTGCCGAGCCGTTGCATTGACTTCCTCCTTTTTCGCAGCCATAAATGCCAGCCTACACTTTTGCAGATGTCCAATTGCATCATCGACCCTGCCTTTTTCCGCCATAGTCTCTATTCGAGTTGGCAACTGCATAATATCTTTCCGCGGCGGCGGTGGCTCTTGGGCAGTACATGTCCATCCAACTGCCTCCCTGGAGACCCTTCGTTTTTGGCTCAAAATTCGTGCCACCCGCAGAAGAGTAGCACTATATCGGAGCTGGCACTAACAAATATGGCACTATATCGCGACCCCCCCCCCCCCCTGTATCGCAGGAGGCACTGTATGGGAAATCGGGAAATTACACTCGGGAAATCCGGTGATGTCACCAGATGTCAACATCCGCCGCCCGGGAGAATTTTGACGCCCACTCTCAGTGCGCGCGTCGAGTCTCCATCTTCCACTGCGGTAGCCAGCCTGCACCCCCCCAGCTCTCGAAGCTCGTTCCCGCAAGCGCCCCCCCGCCCCACGCCGCGGTCTTGCACCGGTTTGTTTATCTTGATGGCCTATTTGCATCTTGCAAGAAACGCACTGCCTGGCACACCCTGGTGGTGTGTGTTTGTATTTGTCCGCTAAAGTCAAATTCTACGACGCCCGAGAAAGCGCTACCGTGCATGTGCTATAAGCTCCAACAAAGAAAGACGTTGCCGAGTAGCCCTCCGAAAACGGCATGGTCGGCACAGCACCCGCGCGGCAGAAGACGCAGCCCGCACCGCCAGAGGCGAGTTGGCCGCCGCTCAAGAGTGGGGGGCGCCGGGACACAAGCCGCACCTGCTGCGCCTGCCGCGCGTGCGCGGGTGGCTCCGACCGGACGCCGCCTCGCGGGGCGTCCCGCTGTCACCGGATGGGCTGGTAGCCGGCGACGCGCGGCTGCTTGCCGCAGCGCATCGTGCCATGGAGCAGGGCGGCGCACGAGAGCGCGCCGACGAGCGCGCCGGAGAAGAAGGTGGCGGCGGTCCAGTGGTCGAGGCGCTGCGGGATGGACGCGACCTGTTCGTGCGCGATGCCCGTGGGCGGGACGTCCGCCGCGTTCGCGCGGCCGTAGCTGCCGCCGGTCTCGCGCGCGGTAAAGTAGCCAACCTGGCACAGCCACCACTCGGGGTAGAACATGGACGTCCTGTTGATCGTGGGGGCGGCCGCGTCGGCCATGATGTAGCCGTCGTGGAAGCGCGCGACAAGACGCCAGAAGAGCGCGCCGTACTCGGCGTGCACCTTGCGCACGAGGCCGTGGCTGAAGCGCTGCATGGCAGCGCGCGCGGCGCGCGACTGGCCATTGGTGATGAGCGCGGTGAGGAAGGCGTCCGTGGCGTCAATGTCGTAGCTCTCCAGCGCTCTCTGCGTCCGCTGCAAGTACGGGAACGCGTGCTTGTAGTAGCGGTGCACCCAGTTGGACGCGAGCGCCACGGCCCAGAACAGCGATTCGTTCGAGTGGCGGAAGAGCGAGCCGCGCGTTAGCGCGGGCGGCACGTCCTTGACGGCGAGATAGAGCGGGACGAACACGCTCGTCGCCGGGGCGTGCTGCGCAAAGTACACCAAGTTGGCGACCTCGCGCGGCAGCTTGTCGCTAGACCGCATGATCGCGGTGTAGCTCGTGCGCATGATGGAGACGGCGCGGCCAAACTCGCCCTCTGCGACGCGCCTCGCCGACATATTTCCAACTGGCACCGGGTCGTAGCGGTGGGGATCGCCGAACGGCCCGCCGGCTCTCGCGCGCGTGAGGTCGAAGCGTGTGCCCTCGAAGTGGTCCTTGTAGATGCGGAACAGGTCGTCCTTGGACACCTTGCCCTTGGGCGTGACGGAGAACGGGTAGTCCTCCATGCGCTCTTCCGTGTGCGGGTCGAGGGTGGGCAGCAGGTCCGGGTTGACCATGGTGAAGATGCGCCACGTACGCAGCGTGACGTAGGTGCTCATGGACGGGACGCGCTTGACCGTGAAGGCCTTTGTGAAGTCCAGGACGGGGCCGTCCGTGCGCGGGTCCCACAGGCCGTTCCTCCGCGCGACGTCGTGCATGTTCGGAGACCACATGAATGTGCGGTTGTCCGCCGTATCCACGGCCCGGATCATGAAGACGTTAGCGACGACGGCGACGTCGGTGTCCGGGACGCGCTGGGCGGCCCACACGGCGCTCCTCCCGGTATCATCCGGGAGGACGTGGAACATCCAGACCTCCCGGGCGTCGCTCACGAACAGGCTCTCGCCGGACTCCATGAATGCGTCCGGCTCGTCAAAGCCGGCGCCATAAAAGCCGTAGCGCTCCGCGGCTTGGCCCATGACTGTGACGGCCTCGCGCGCGGTGGCGGCGCGCTCGAGGGCGATGCGGGAGAGCTCGGACACGTCGAGCAGGGCGTGGCCGCCGTGGCCGCGCGGGCTGGCGACGAAGCGGGCGGGGCACGAGCTCTCGGCGACGGCGACGCCTTGGTCGTTGAGCATGGCGTAGCCGGCGCCGCCTTCGAACAGGGCGTGCGTGCGGGGCACCTGCGGGATGGTGGCGAGCGGGGGCGTGGCGGGGAGCCATGCGCGGCGCTGCGCGGGGACGGGCTCGAGGTTGGACGCGGCCCACGTGGGGGCGCGGTCGGCGACGACGTGCGGGTACGGCGTGCGGAAGAGGAAGACGGGGCGCGTGGTGCCGGGAGCGTGGCGGCACGCTGGCACACGGGCCAGGCGGAAGTCGCAGTCCATGCAGTCGGTCGACGACGCGACGTAGGTGGCGCCGTCTCGCGTCGCCAGGCGGCCGGCCGCGACGGCCGTGCACGCGGACGCGCGCGGCGCGAGGAAC